GGCGAGAGGGAGGCTGCTGCCAGTGCCAGGTGGCAGAAGGCGCCGGCCGGCAGCCCTGGGCACCACCACCACCCCCGACGCTCCAATGGAGAGGCCCCTGCCCCGCAGCATCAGAGGCAGGGCGGGCCAGGGGCTGCTGCGGGGCATCGGCCGCTGCCGGTGGTGATGGGGGGTGGGGCGGAGGAGGAGGAGTGGGGCGATGCAGAGGAGGACAGCGAGGATGAGAACCCGCAGTACAAGGCATTCCATGTGAGCGGCCAGCCCGACTTCAGCATCGAGGAGCCAGACGCAGAGGAATACCTGAGGAGGGTCAGGTGGGGCCAGCACGCACCCCACGCGAGCTAGGAACTGCTTGGAAAAGTCGTTCTGGATGCATCCTGTGCTGCTTAGTGGCGTGCGCCGTTGCTCCTACGAGTATGGTCGATTTCTCTGATCCTTACTCCACCAGAGCCTCCCAGCCTGTGGGCTTGGGCTTGGGACTCAGCGAGCTGCACACTGCACAACCGAACCTCCATGCCTCTTCTCATGCCCTTCACCATTTGGTCTCTGCCCCTCCAGGTGGGAAGCCCAGCGGTGTCCGCGCGTGGTGGTGGCCCCCGCGCACGAGCGGCCACCCGCAGCCCCTGAGCAGACCCCATACATGCCGGCCCTGCCCGGCGTAACTGCGTGCGCCCCGCACCTGCTGCCCTCCTCGGAGTGGGAGGCGTGCTTCCTGGCCGACTTCTCAGACCTGCGCACTGTGAGTTCCCTTCATTGCCTCTCCCTGTCCTCAGGGGAAAAAACCCGCTCCTAAGTGTGTTTGGATGCCACCGGGTCTGTGATTGGTTCAGGTCACAAGGACAGCTGACTGGATCATAACTCTGAGACCCGTGGTGTCTCCCTCATGTGCCACTCCGCGCCTCTTGCCTCTACAGGAGCTCGTCCGCCTGCTTGACCTGCTGGAGGAGGCGGACGCGGCTGCGCTGTCCTCTTTGCCGTCCTCTGCGGCAGCCATCCCTTCTGTGCGCGACGCCAGCGCCTGGAAACGCTTCTGCCTTGGCCCCAGCCCTGGGCCCCAGCCCGCCGAGGGCCTGGCCAGCCAGCGCGAGGGGGGGCCGCAGGAGGGGCAGCCGGGGGAGGGCTCTGGCTGCAGCGGAGCGGTCGAGGGCAGTGGCAACGAGGGGGGGGCTCAGAAAGAGCGGGATGCAGGCAGGGAGGAGAGTTTTGAGGGCACGGCCTGCCAAACACTTGATGAGCGGGAGGGGGTCCAAAGCTTGAGCCAGGAGGAAGAAGGCCGGGGGGGAGTGCATGGTGAGGGACTGGATGGCGGGGGAGCGCAGGAGGCGGGGCCCACCAAGGAGTTGGCGGTTCAGGGAGGTGCCTCACCCGATGAGAGAGACACAGAGCGGGTGCAAGTGACGGCCGGGGCTGACGGGGGGACCCCCGGACACCATACCGGGGAGAATGGAAGCTGGCAGACTGGGAGTGGATCAAGCGGGGATCCTCAGCGAGGCTCACCAAGAGCCGGCAGCCCCGCAGCTACAGGAAGCGGGAAGGCAGGCCTGAGAGAGACGCAGGGCGGCGGCGGCATGGAGGATTCTGGCAGCCTTGGGGCAGAGCCCCCGTCGGAAGTGGGAACTGCGAAGGACGGGGCAGCAGCCAACGCAGACAGCCAAGGGGGTGACATCACCACAACAAGCCCGCCAGTGCGACGGGCGCGGCGGCGGGAGGCGCTGTTGGAGGGCGTGCTGCCGTTCCTGGGCATCCTGCTGCGGCTGGACCAGGTGAGCGGGGACGAGGGGCGCGGGGCAGGGGCGGCCATCCGCCACCCCGTGCGGGGCGGGCTCCTCTGGGCTGGTCTGGGTAGCGACTCCGTCCCATCCGCTTGCCTTACATCAAGCATCTCGTCTTGTCTCCAAGAAGACGTCGTGACTGGCTCTCGATCATCAGCGCAGGCCGCTGGCCTTCTCCCGCTGCTTCCCGGCTGACCGCTTTCCCCCGCTTGTGCCTGCTGTTCTCCAGGTGGCGCTCGCGGTCCACCTGCGGCACCACGTGCGCTGGCTGCAGGAGCTGCCCCCCTCCGCTGCGCTGGACCGGCGGCGCGGCGCGTGGCTGTTTGCTCTGTGCGCCACAGTGGGCAAGCCCCTGGACCCGGACACCCAGGCCGCCCTGCGCGACCTGCTGCGCACTGCGGCCCTCAGGCGAGCCAACAAGGTGAGGGGCGGCCGCTGCGGGATGCCGCAGAAGCCAGTCCTGGTGCATAAGCCTGCTTGCCCGGGTTGCGAATTGTACAAGAGCTAACCTGACGTCGTGGGCAGCGGCCGATGTGGCCGTTAATGGGAGCTGTGCATGGTCACCCGTGCGCAGTTCACTTGCGAGCATGCTTCTCGGTCACTCTGCTCTCGAGAGTCCTTGACCGGGCCCTCGAGCTCCATGACGACTCACTGCTTCTGCCGTCGGCGGCTGGCTGAGCGGCCCTCCCCCGGTGCGTGCCGTGTGCAGGTGTCGCCCGGCGACCCCGAGCTGGCGGTGCTCAACATGCTGATCGCCATCGCGGGCCGCTACTTCGGGCAGCAGGAGCGCTGAGCGCGGCCGCCGCAGCGGAGCGGACAGCTGGTGCACGAGAGCGGGCTGAGAAGGACTGAGCGTGGCGGGAAAGAGGGGTGGGGATTTGCTGGTAAGCAGGGCTGATCCCAGTGCAGGTTGGCAGTAGGATGGGCTTTGTGCGGTACAGCAGAGGGCCAACGGAGTGGAGGCGGTCGAGGTTCAGCGAGAGTCCGGCATACGGTCTTGCTGTCGAGCATGCAGAGGTGTTATTATGTACTGACGTGAGATCATGTGCCCCCAGTAGTGGTTCTACAGTGGCGGTGACGGGACATACGTGGTGCTTATGAAGGTTCTCCCTGATTTGACTTACTCAGTGGAGACCACAATATCTAACACTCGCTGCGGGGCTTTCTCTTTGTACATGCAATGTCTGGGCACGCTAGACTCAAGTCATAGCCTGTCACGCTGGCTCTATGTGTCGCGCCATTGTTGTGTTGGAGTATGCTTCGAAGATCTGCAGGTTTCGTACGGCTGGTACATGCTGGTTTTTTAGATAATTCCACGCTCTTGCAAGATGAGCAATTATGCTCGCCAACCTACGTTCGTCTGGCTCATGGCTGTCGATCTTATTAGGCTAGGCTTTAACTAGGAGGCTTTACATCTAGTGAGTGCCAAAGTCTGGGACAGACGCAGCGCGTGCTGCGTCTACTGGTCATGTAGAAGCGTGTTTGGCAGGGAGCTGAAATGCAGCTTCGTGTTGCATAGAATGCTGTATCGATGACGTACAGCGAAATTGAGAGTCGACATTTGAATAACCATGCAAGTCGATCTTATGAAACACGGACATACTTTTGGCGATTGTCAGATTGATCAACACTGGCTGCCTGGCGCCATACGACTTGACATGCGGCTTTATCATGTTACACACCAATTACATATATGTTCGATTGTAAGTGCGAAAACAATTTGATTGTCGACAAACCAGGCCAGATTGTCGCTGCATCACGGTCAGCCCTGGGCGGCCTGCTGAAGCGACATACCAATTGTTCAAGGGGGCCCGTTAATAAAAGGTTGACCTGGTATCCCACGACTTCCAATAACGGGGCTGGCTCGGCAACGGCCATGGGCTGAAACGTTTGAGAACCAGCAACTGTCGTCACTTCGGTCGAAGGCCAAGGCCAACGAGGCATTACCATGACTTTTCAAGGGCACCATGATTTTGTAGATCTAAACAGGATGAGGTCAAGCACGCGTTGTAACCATGCAGGAGTGCAAGATTGGGGACGCGAAGCTCCAGAGAAAGGATGGCAGGAGCAAGCGGAGGGCAAAAGTAAGCATGGCCCTGAACGAGGCCGTTCGCAACACGTTTTGCTCAACACCTGTTCAGAACCAGCCGATGTCGAACCTCTTTTTGAACCCAAACAATAAAGAAGCATTTTCCGGATTTTTCTGGTCGACTTGCAGCATTAGTTGCCACTTCAACCTCCTCTTCTCTTTCGTCACGGGGTCGTCCTTCTTGCCAGCCTGCAATCAGCAGCAGGATGTCAAACCCCCGAAATCGGTAGAACCATAGGACCAAAGGACCTCGAGATGCACCCAAGCAGCGAACAACAACGCAGGCATGACTTTCCGCACAGTGCCTGCGGGGGGGTGCCCCGCGCGCCCCCATGTCCAGGAGCTTACCCACAGGCCCGCCCAGAAGACGCCCTGGCTGGACGTGTACCCGGCCTTGTACAGCAGTGACCGCCGGCTGTACTTGTACTGAGTGTCGAACTCGGTGGTGCCCGGGAAGTAGCGGAAGCTGCGCGGACCACCGGGCGGTGCGTTAGCGGCCGCCAGTGTGCGCCAGTGATGCACGCACATTGCCCCCGACAGCACTCCAATGCCGGCATCCTTCTCTCAAGACTGGTCCACCGAGCAATGAAGGGCATGTGGCGGGGGGCCCACTTCCCTTCTCACCTGACTTTGTGGCCGTTGTTGAAGCGCCGCTTGAAGACGCAGCTGCTCTGGAGGGTGGGCAGCAGCACCGAAGGGATCACCGTCACGTCGTCATCCTGTTAACACAGGGGTCAACCCCGTCAGTCAATGATGCTCCATCCCACTGTCAGAGGGGAGCTTGCTCAGATGCCCACAGCCGGCGGTGGCACTCTGGCCATGCAGTGATGTGTGGCACAGGAGGCGTGCTGACCTTGTAGCGATACGTGAGGTCCAGCGTCCGCAGCGCGCTGTGGCCCTCAGCCAGGAGCGTCCCGCGCAGCAGCGGCAGCTTGAGCGCCGCCGTGACCCCCGCCGGCACCGCGTCGTCAAAGTGCTGATAGCTCAGCTGCCCAAGCGGACACGCCACGCTGCCCGTGATCTACACCCGGGGGAAGGCAGCATCAGCGCAGTGCAGCCCCAATTGAGAAGGCCACATTCCATTTCGCACCACAAATGTCCATCGGGCTCGCGCGACATAGAGAGGGCGGGCAGGCGGATGCAGCCCCCGGCAGAGACCAGGCGGGCCAGCATCGGCGGGCGGTGGCGTCTCACCAGTGTCTTTTCATTGACGGCAAACACGCCGTTGCCCCGCAGGCCCTTGCTCTGGCTCTCCGCCTGCGCCACCAGCGCCCCCTCATGTTCCTGGCACACGCAGCACAAGGGATGGCAATCAGGACAAGGGGAAGACAGGGCTGGGCGCCCACACACTAAAGACTAGCATGGCAGCCCAATGCTGGGGAACACTTGCAGGCCGCGAGGTGGCGGCCGGGGCTGGCGCGCACCTTGACATCGTGCTCGTAGCGCAGCTTGAGGTTGCGGCCCAGCGGCTGGGTGAAGGTGAGGAAGGGCGCCTCCTCCGGGACGTTGAGCTGCGCGGAGAAGACCTTGGTGAACACGCCCAGGGTGGGGCCCTCAAAGCGGCGCTCCTCCGGCAAAAAGTCCCACGACGCTTTCAGCTTGATGCGGTCATGCCACAGCCGCGTGCTCAGCTTGTTTTGAAACACATTTGTGTCGCTATCATACTGCGTCGTTAGCTTACCCCACCGTCTCCGGGGGGCGCCTCCCACAGCGGGCCTCACTGCAGGAGGCGTGACCACTGTGGTTTGCGCCGGAACTCTGATGACTGTCACCGGGACAGCCTCCACCTCGACTGCCTCTCCACCTGCTTCCCGCTTGTCAAATGTCCACGGGAAACGAAACCCGCCAGGCTGACTGGCGGATGCCCCCTGTTCCTCCCCGGGCGCCATTCAATTCCCGCAATGTAGCTCACTGTTCCCCTTGCCTGCTAGCACAGCGTTGTTTGTACGTTCTGTGCAGAAGTCGAGAGCTGCCCTGCACATTGCTGCAAGGCGCAGGTTGCACGTCGTAGTAGTAGTACCTGCCCACGTCCCTTCTGTCGGGCTGCACTGCAGCTTCATGTGCAGTGTCAGCTAGTGCAGCACAGCCAGCAGGTGGAGCTTGGAACTTGCAAGTTGTGCAAGTTTTAAAATTAGACGGTCCGAAGATCCTTAGAGTTCAATCGAACGGTTTCAAATCCACGAGAGTTATTACATCTAGCTTCACATAGGAGAAGCTTTCAACCAAGAAGGGCCATGATTCGCATGAACATGGTGCAACCTGTCCGGGTGGATCAGGACTCAGGAGTTGCAGATTTGCACTTGCAATCCAAGCCTTGAGTACCGCATAGGGGAGTCCTCTTCTGCCTCCTGGGCCCCGCAAGTTTCCTAGGCTTTCTCCTGCAGTGTGGCAGGCAGATCGTTGCATGTAGAGGTGCGCCTGGGCGCCATGGAGGGTCTCATTGGGTTGTCAGAGCTGGTGGAGCAGGCGCAGGCGCTGCTGGGCGACGCCGACAGCTCAGGGGGCGCATCGACGTTCCTGCGGGTGGTGGCCCTGGGCAGCGTGGTGAGACAGCAGGCCGCGATGCAGCTCCAGTTGATTGCCAAGAACAGCGTGGAGATGCGCGGCCACAATGGCCAGACGGCCTGCCGCATGCAAGATGAGCTTGGGTATGCAATTGACTGGTTGTCTCCACGTTGCGTGCAGGGCTCCGGCAAAACTGCGGTGCTCAACAGTCTCTTGGGATACCCGGTTCTGGTAAGCCTGTGGCCTGCCCCAGCTCAAACTGCAGCAAGATCTGCCCCTGTCCTTGCCTGCGCGCTCTCCTGCCCCCCTGCGCTCTGTTCTGCTGGCGTGTCTGATCCTTGAGGCCCTGGGGCCCTCTGTGGTGCAGCCTACCGGGAAGGTGGAGGGCGGAGCCACGCGCATACCGCTCGTGGTCAATGTGACGCGCAGCGGAGGGATGGGCGTGAGGGCAGTCCTGGGGAACAGGAGCTTGCTCACCGCAGGTTAGGGGATAGACCATCCCATCTGCAGCAGCTCCTCCGGGTGCAATTGCCGGATGCGTGCATTGCTTAGGTTTGCGTGTGCGTATGTTGTTGGGTCGGGCCGCTTCTGCTGCTGATCCTGGGCCTGTGCGTGCTTGCTGCAGGGGAGATCCGGCGCGCGATCCAGGGCGAGATGAAGAAGGGGCTGCTGCCCAACGTCCTCAAGCGGGGCTCCAAGGACCTTGTGGAGCTCAGCGTCTCCGCAGCCGCAGGTGAGCGCTCCCCCCCGTGCGACGCGCCTGTACTGCCGCCTGCACGTGCTGGGGGTCGCTCCGGCTACCATGATTGAGCATGTTGGACCCGTTTGTTCATGGAGTCTTGGACCAGTTCTCCAATCAGCTGCTGCTAGGTTGTTCTCAAGAGTTGAACACGCTATGAGTTTGCAATTTGTTTCCTGCTTGAAATATTGCTCTGGTACAAGTTGGCCCCGTCAGCCCCTCTCATTGTGCCTCTCTGCCCTGTGGCGTGTGCTCTGCAGCCCCTCCGCTCACGTTGGTTGATCTGCCGGGAATATTGGACAAAGCATCAGAACGTGATGATCTGGTGAGAGTCGTCATCCTTAGCACAATCTCCTTTCCAATCGAAGCGGGGAATGCATCAAGCGCTGTGCTTGGATCTGCACCCTGGCAGCCTTTGTCCCCCCATGCTTGCTGTCTCAGTCTGCTCTAACCCGCGTCCTTGCCACGTCGCAGGTCACTGAGTTTGCTGGCAGCAACGACGCCATCCTCCTTGTTGCTCTTCCTGCCCAGGCGGCCCCTGGGGTTGCCAACACGCGCGTCCTCCGCTTTGCCCAGGAGCTTGATCCAGACGGTAAGCCTGCCCGCCCAGCGCTTCAGCAGCTCACAGCATTTCAGGCAGCCCACCTGCTTCTCCCATTGGCTGCGTTCCGTGCAGCCAACTACACCTGCCTGCCTGCATTCCCCTTGCCCCCAGCCTGTGTCTTCTGACGCTGCGCTGCGCGGTGCGCAGGGTCGCGTACGGTGGGCGTGCTGACGCGCGTGGACCAGGCTGCCGGGGATGCGCGCGCGCTGTCGGCCACGAGCGCGCTGCTGCAGGGGCAGGGCCCCGGGCTGAGCCGCGAGATCCCGTGGGTGGCCACCATCACCAAGGCGCAGGCGGACGTGAGCGCGGACGAGAGCCTGGCCGGGTCGTTCCAGGCGGAGCTGGACATGCTGCGCAACATCCTGGGCCGCGGCTCGCAGCTGCGCCTCGGCCGCACCGCGCTCATCGAGGCGCTCTTTGCCACCATCCGCAACAGGACCAAGCAGAAGATCCCCACGCTGCTCGCTGGGTGAGGGCCAGTGTGGAACATCTGAGGGCAAGGCCGCGCAGTTTTGCGCTCCTCACCTGCTCATGGTGTCAATGTCGTCCAGCCAAGGGGCATCTATCACGCAATTGTGGGGGAGCGAAGACACTGCCAATCTGTTTTGGAGGACCAATGGCATTTTAATTCTGCCTGGGAACAGATGCCATCGCGGAATCTGCTGCTTTGCACTGGGGTCTACTGCTAAGTCCTGAGACTTGTTCCAGGGGCACCTCTTGTGCGACCAGCAGCGCCCTCGTCTGTTGACACATGTTGTACGGCGCGTGCAGGCTCGAGGGGCGTTCTGCGCAAGTGGAGGAGGAGCTGGTGCGCCTGGGCGAGCGGCGCGCCACCACCAGCGAGGGCCACCGCGCCGTCGTGCTGGAGCTGGCGCGCGAGTTTGACGACACCTTCAACCAGCACATTGAGTCGGGCGAGGTCAGCGCCCACCCACCGCCCACTGCCTCTCGCAAGCACCCCAGCAGAGCTTGCAGCGGCACACGCCTACGAAATGCTCATAGCCGTGGCACCGCATACTTTGGGGTCTGCTTGTGCCCTTCCGCTGCCCCCTACTCCTGGCTGAAGGCGGTTGCTTCGTGTTGTTGTGTGCAGGTGGGGGGTGCCAAGATGGTGTCCTCGTTTGAGACGAGCCTGCCCCAGCGCATCCGCCGCCTGCCGCTGGACGACCTCTTTGAGCTGGCCGCCATCAAGAAGGTGAGCCTCACCGCGTCCGGTTGCCCCCTGGGGCCCAGCAGCCCTGCTCGCACACAGCGGCACCTGCTGCGGCACCTGCACTACAGCTGAGTTCAAGGCTGAGCCTGGGTTGCGGGGGTGGTTGGCTGGCTGGTGCTGACTGCGGTGTGTGGGCGTGCAGCTGGTGGAGGAGGCGGACGGGTACCAGCCGTACCTGCTGTCCCCCGAGAAGGGCCTGCGCGCGCTGGTCAAGAAGTGCCTGGATCTGGCCAAGCCGCCGTCGCTGCAGTGCGTGGACGAGGTGCACCGCACGCTGCTCGAGGTCGTCAGCGCGGCCGCCGCCGCCACGCCCGGCCTGAGCCGGTACCCGCCGCTGCGGCGCTGCATCGTGGAGCTGGCAAGCGGTGCGCTGGACGCGTATCGGTTGGAGGCCAAGACGATGGTGGTGGCGCTGGTGGACATGGAGCGCAGCTTCATCCACCCCACCAAGTTCCGCAAGCTCGTGCAGCGCCGCCTCGAGAAGCTCGCCTACGAGGAGGACATGAAGGAGACCGCCAAGACGCAGGAGCAGTCCCTGCTCTCCAAGGTGCGCGCGTCAGGTCATCGCGGGGCACAGGGGCGGCCATTGCTGTAGGCCGGCCATAATGATTCTCTGTAACCTGGGTTGGTTCCCGGTGTGCAACTTTTGGCAGTTCGTTATACAACACTGATTGGAGCATCAGGGCTACGCTAGAAGGAATACAGTGAGGTTATACGTGCTGCTGACTCTCCTGGAGGAGTAGGGTTGCTAAGCGAAGGACCAAATATAATCACAGCAGGTCACTGGCTTGTAGATGCCGTTCACGCTACCTTTGTTTGTCAGGCCGCTCAGGTCCGCCAGTACAACCTCGGGGCCTTAGTGACAAGTAGCTCATGTACGTTGGAAAGGACTTGAGCTGTTGCTCGGTCGACGCTTGAGCGTGGTGTTATCCGTGCAGATCACGGGGCGGCGGTCGACGAGCGAGAAGGCGGCGGAGGCGGGCAAGGGCGCGTCGCTCAAGGAGCAGAAGGAGGCGGCCAGCAGCAAGAGCACGCCGCCCACGACGCCCACCAAGGAGGCCAACAATACGCAAACCGGCTTCGTCAGCGGCCAGGAAATGATTGCAGGTGGGCACGCCCGCTGCCAGGGCCGCCTCTTGTGCAGCTTACACAGCATGTTGCATTCGTCTCCGCCCCTTTGAGACACACTATCGTTGCTTCCAGTGGTCCAATCCAGTTGATGTGCAGCGCTGAGCGCGGTGGTTTGTGCGTGGGTGCAGGCTACTTGTGGAAGAAGAGCTCCGACTCTAACTCGTGGAGCAAGCGCTGGTTCGTCTTGAACGGCAAGATTGGCAGGGTAAGCCCCCCCTCGTCACAGCCGTGCCAGTGCGCAGCGGGCAGGCTTGATCAGGCTGCGAGCTCGGGCCGGTGGTGCAAGATTTGTCATCGAGAGTGGGAATAAGTGTATGCGTGTGCATGTGCGTTCGTGCGTATGTACGTGTGGGCGTCCGCGCGTGCGTGCCGTGGCTGCTGACGCGCGCGGGTGGTGGTGTGGCGGGTGCAGCTGGCGTACATGAAGAAGCCGGAGGACAAGTACTTCCGCGGCGTGGTCAAGCTGGAGGAGTGCATCGTGGAGGAGCTGGTGGACCGCGAGGACCTGCTGGACGGGCCCGAGAGCAGCGGCTCCACGGGGCCGGAGCCGGGCAAGGACGGCAAGCCCACGCGCCAGGTGCTGAAGAGCAGCTCCAGCCTCGGCCAGGCGCAGACGCTCGCCTTCCGCATCACCAACAAGACGCCCTACAAGTCCGTCGTCAAGGGTGAGTAGCCCCGCGCCCCCCCCCCTCACGCCCGGCTGCGCGCCACACTGCTGCTGCGCACTGCCCTGGATCGCTGCGAGCCGCCTGCTTGCCTGCCGCTGAGGCCGTCTCCCGGCGGTGCTTGCAGTGCACAACTCGCTGCTGCTGCGCGCGGAGAACGCGGCGGAGAAGCAGGAGTGGGTGTCCAAGATGCGCGCCGTCGCCGCGCGCGCCTCGGGGGCCAAGGAGGTCGAGAGCGACGCCGACTCGGGCTACGACAACGAGGTATGCGCCCGCCCGCCGTACTTTTCCCACCCCCGTCGAGCCGTCTCGAGCAGCAGCCTCGCTGCTCCTGCCTGCTTGGTGTGGCAGTGGCGTGGTCGCCCGACGCTGACGCTCCTTTGGGCGGGTGTGGGTGCAGGAGCCTCCTGCTGCGGCGGCGCCTCCGGTTCGTGCGGTGCGGCCGGCTGACCCGGATGCGGAGCTGCGGCTGATGGGGTCCGAGGTGCGCGACTACGTGGACGCAGTGCTCGAGAACCTGGCCGCCAACATCCCCAAGGTGAGCGCGCCAGGGGTGCCGGAATGGGGTGGCCTGGAGCGCGGAGGCGCAGACAAAGCTCTCCCCACCCTGTTTTTGAACCGGTGGGGATCCTTCGGATTCGGCTTCATGCAAATCTGGTCCAAGTCGAAGCCACTGCTCGCAACAAACCTATGATGAAATGACTGCACACCACAGATTCACGGCTTCGGCAAGCAGATCGGCCGCAGCATCCAACGTCCTTAGAACCTGCACCGGAGTTACAGCATCACAGAGGCATTTCTGTGGGTGCGGCCCAGGATGTCTGGTGTGCATATGCGCGCATGCTCGGCCGACCGTGCGGCTGCGTCGTCACATTTGTTCGCCGTGGCTGGTGTGGTGCAGGCGGTGGTGTTTTGCCAGATCGAGCGCGCCAAGGAGACGCTGCTGAACAAGCTGTACAGCGGCATCAGCGCGCAGGCGGACACGGGCATCGACGGCCTGCTGCAGGAGGACGGCGAGGTGCGGCAGCAGCGCGAGCGCTTCATGCAGCAGAACGACGCGCTCAAGAAGCTGCAGCGCCAGCTCAGCATGCAGGAGGCCAAGGTCGCCATCGAGGGCGGGCCCGACCCAGGTACGCACGCACCGCGCGCAGCAGCCACGCAGGGTCTGTGCACGTCTGTGACGCACTCCCTCCAACCCTGTGGCGTGACATCCGTGCGCCTGCTTCCTCGTGCCCGCCCCTGAGCCGGCTTTCTTGGTGCAGGTGCGGAACCGGTTGAGGACAACAGCTGGCGGACGGCCTTCCGAGACGCCGGCCAGGACGGCAGCTACGCGGACGTGCCGCCCAGCCCGGTGGCCAACGGGGGGTCGCTCCCAAAGTCGCGCATGTCGCGGGAATATTCTGAACCAGTGCAACGAGAAGCACCAGCACCACCGCAAGTGTCGGAACCACAACCGCCGAAGTCCAAATCAAGATGGGGTTTTTAGAGGACCACTTATGACGTTTTTGGAATACAAGGGGACGTTGGTTGCTTCAAATGCGCAGCTCCCATACTATTGCTAGGTTCCAAGGTCCGGGAATGCACTCTGCTGGTTACCAAGACAATCAAGAGGTTGTATTTCATTTGAGTCCTGGCCCAGTCATCCTTCTACAAGATGTTGGGTGCATTCTGCTTGTTTGTGTTGAGTCTAGTGATGGGTTACTCTCGCCAACACACGCCACAATGATACATCCCTGATTGAAGGAGTGAATAATAGCTCGACTTGCTCTAGCTTGGCCTGCATGTCACTACGCCTCATGGTAGCCATGAACCCGGATTCGGTTGCATAGATAAAAGTTGGAATGCATGAGTAGATGGTTACTGATATGGTACAATCAATACATGAACTATTGTCGGTTTAAGGAGAATGCTGTAGTGACCAATTTGTTCTCCGGTTTTGCACGTTGGTCCTGGATATACATTTGGGGACCACTATGATGCAAATGTGGCCGGAACTTGGGTTTCAATATATGGTCAAGTACTTGTGCATGTTTATCACTGATGCTCAATTAGTCAAAATGCTCTCATGCAGGGGCCGAGTGGCGATCGATCGCCGTTTCCCATGCAGGTTATGAAAGCGTGGAAAGAGTGTTTCAATTAGAGATTTTGATATTGCATGCTAATTGAAAAGCTAGGGCTACAAGGACAGAACAAGGTATTTTTAAGATGTGCGCGATCATGCATAGTACATATCTATATCTCATGATCAAAGATTAAAGCAATAAGAACGTGTGAATTCGTTTGGATGTACACCCTATGCTGGCACGCATCTTAGGCCAGTGCCCAAGTATGTGGACCCATGGAGATGTAAGCCGGTATAGAGACCGAGTTTATTGTGACTTTTGAGTACGACGTGCTTGCCAGCCCGCATTGTAGTACGCGCACTTTTTCGTTTTAGGGGCATGCCATCGGTATGCTAGATTGTGTTGGTAATCGTTTTTCAGCATGCACTCTGAATATTCAAACAACTTAATTCAACCCAGGACGATCTACGAGCCTGTACCTTGGGAGGCTTTCATGAGCACTAACTTCGAGATGAAATTGTTGACGATCTGCTTTCCGTTCTGTGTAATGATACTTTCGGGATGGAATTGGACGCCCTGCAAAAGAAATCCAAGGGGAATCAGCACGGGGAGCCTGTTTTCACCGAGTTGTCAGGAGTGGCCCACTTGGTGACGATACTTCAGCTCAAGGCTCAAGCTGCCAACGTCAGCCTTTTCCAAACGTCCAAACGTCCAACGTCCAAACGTCCGTGATTGCCACTGAAGGCAATTGGACGATACCTGAAAGTCTCCAAATACAACGTTTTGTGTCTGCTCCGTGTGACCCATATTCTGACAGATTTAAACGACAAACGGCGGTTCCAAAAGGGTCTGAATGTGCAACAAAGCCTGCACCTTCCCTGGAAAGATAATCGTCATCTACCGATGTTCAAAATTCAGTGAAAGTTGCATTTGTACAGGCAGAGCACTCAAGGGAACCATTGCTTGCGCTCAAAACAAGTGCGACAAGGTGCCGTGGAGATACACGAACGTAAGAAGAGTCCGTTATTGCACTTCCGAGCCTGACCTCGATGTGCGGGTACTTCCGGTGCCGCGCTCCCATGACGAGGCCGTCCTCGGTCCATGCCGTGATCTCCAGCTCGTCGTTGGGGAAGGTCTCCCGCTCGATGACCAGGCTGTGGTACCGCGCAGCAGTGAAGGGGCTGCAGCACAACATGGGACCAAGAAGATTTGAGTCTGCGAGAGATCGAAGATTCATCCTCGATGCCTTCCAAGCCGCTTTTCTGATCTGCTGATTGGGGGCCAAACCTGAGCCTCTCAGACCGCCATTGTTGAAGGGTTCTGATAGAGTACTCAAGGATGGCATGCAGTAGAAACCAGCAGCTCGACATGTCGATACACGGGACCAGAAGCCTAGTGATAGCCGTCAACTGGTTCAAATTCCGGGACAGAAAGAGAGGCGGAGGTCGGGATGCTGATCGAGTAGTACGGCTTTGAAGGACTTGCCTACATCACGGGACATGCAAAGAGCACCCAAGCAGAGGATGCTTTCTCCGGGACCACGTGTTTGATTATGGGCGGAGATACGATCTCGGCTTACTTGCTCAGGCCCACCAGAAGTCCCGACTCTTGATCGGTTTGGTTGTGGTAAACTGGAGATGTTTTCCCATGCATGACGCCATGTGGTGCCCGGACTATTCGCCCTGCCGGAAAAGGAACAAATCATGAGCCCAAGAGGAGAGTATCAACGTGCAAAAAATGGGTACATCCCCTTCGAATAAACGATATAAATGAGCGGCCACAAGAAGCAAGCCGTTGCAACCACCCTGTAAAGCTCTTGTCAGCATGATTGTAGAGATGGACTGCTGTCCTAGACATGAGCGTTCGTCTCGATAAAGTAGGTACGGGGTACCTTCAAAAAAGCACAAGACGGGTTTTTTCAACATCTCAAGACAAGCCCCCAAAGCAATGGCCAGGCCCACAAGCGCCCACGTATACAATGGTCACAGCAATTGGAGCGGCCAAGCAACCTCCCACACGCAAGCTTTCCGTCCTGCTGTGGCTCAGCCTCACCCCCGAAGGCTTGCCCAATGCACTGCAGCCCCATGCACACCCCAAACAGCGGAACGCTCGGCCCCAGCTCGCGCACCGTCTCCAGGGAAATCCCCGAGTCCTCAGGCGTCCCTGGCCCGGGCGAGATCAGGAGCCCCCGGGGCGCCATCTCCCGAAGCTCGGGGACGCTGATCTCATCATTCCGGAACACGACGTGCTCGCACCCGAGGTCCCCCAGGTACTGGCACAGGTTGTATGTGAAGCTGTCGTAGTTATCTATCACGACTACGGGCCCTTGTCGGTTGTCGGTGGTGTGGATGGGGGCATTTATGCTGCCAGGTGCTTCGGGGGCGGCGACGGCGCAGGTGATTCTGCGGAGTGGCCGGCTGTGGCCTGGAGAGGAGACAGGGATGGTCTGAAGTTGAAGCAGGAGCTTGCTCACAAGTGACAGACTCAACGCTGGTGGTAAGAAGTCGTCAAAACTGAAGACACGTAGTGACATCTTAAGACGGATTCTCAGAAGTGAAGGACGAGACGACAATCGGTTGCTGAGCCGTTCATCATTTGGTTCACTTGGTACTAAACCACACAGAGTAGGCTGCCAGCAAAATTCAGAAGGTCAGTCCAATGAAAGAGGCGACACACAGCGCTTCCCATGTCAAAAAGCAAATGCCATTCCGTGTGCCAAGTGAGAAGACAATTAGCATTTGCCCAAACAGGGCCGCAAGCATTGGCATCTTGGCCCCACTTTTGTGTTTGACTGCACATTCTATCCAGTAAGAGGGTGTCTTTACCTCTTTCTGTATCCCGTAAACAGGGAGCTGCGCCTGGAGAAGTGCCCGCCCCCTTGCGTGCCTGGTACCTTCTCCTTGGAAGTGGTGAAACAGGTATTGAGTTTGACCACGCTCGACTCCGAGGCTCTGGCAAATCTAGAACCCGGACGACGTTGCAAGCTTGACAAGCCGCCTCCATCGAAGGGCCGTTGCTGCGGTGAATGACGTGAGAATTAATTCTGTCCCGTCGTTTCTGGATACAAGTTTAGGAACTTCTAGAAATGATGTCCTGGCCCCGTCATGGCCCCTTCAGTTTATATTTGCGGCAGCCGCCTACACTACACTAGACCAGCGTTGCGAGCTTGGGGTTTGAAGTTCCTGACACAATCATCATGAGGCTGCTGCATCAGAGTGCCTGGCTGCCATCAGAATGAATGTGACAACTGACGAAGAGGAGCCAACTCAGGCCAACTCGTTAGGGCGCCGTCATTTTGTAATTGGTAGTAGGTACCCCCCCATATTTAATTCGACCATTTTCGAAAGTGGTCCTGCGCCGAGGGGCCCCAAGCCCCCCCCCCCTCCCCGCCCTGCCACATAAGAGCCGGGCAGTGTAGCCAAAGGTCCAGCCAAAGCAGCAAACCGGATTAAGTCAACGTTTTTAACTGTATAATACTGGCAAACGGTCGTATATATCCCTCTCTTTTTGAAATTTGAAAGCAAAACAGCCCCGCAGGGCAGCTTTTCAGGAATTTGCGATCCAATTTGACTGTTTTGATGCTCATTTGTAGGATCGATACATAGATATGTTGGTGAACGTGGCTCATAAGACCCTCTGCACGGAAGCCTCAAGCGGTCCCCCCATGGGGGCCCCGAATCTCAGAATGCCCTTAAAGCCCCCCCCCCCTCCCGCCCTGGATCACCAATAGCTGGCCCTACGTACCCAAATAAATATGGGGGGGTAATAGGTATCAGGTACAAACTGACGGTTATTGAGGTATGTATATTATGTGACTGTATCAGTGTTTAACGCGCCGCGCACGCGCCAGGTACAAAGTGCGGCTGGCGTCGGGATTTGTGCGGCTGGCAGCAGGCCAGCCGCCCACCTTTGTGCGGCGGAATTTGGGACACAGCCGCACACTGTGTGCGCCTATGATGCAAGCTTGTGCCCGGAGCCCAGGCTCTTATGGGCCAAAATGCATAAAAGACGGCTCTGAACCGGCTTCAAGCAACGTTTACCGGGAACTACAGTCCTCAGTGATTGATATATAGAACGCGTCTCCGTCCGAGCATTGTGCCCGGGCCCCGGTCCCTTGCCAGCTAGCTCAGCTTGCCTTCTATAGGCAGACGAACGCCCCCATACATTTACTTCCCGGCTGAATAATTCCCGTATAAATATAGCCATATCGACGTGCCTTTTAAGACCTTTGCTATATATGTAGGCTTTACTTAATATGCGATAAGCCACTGCTTATAATGGTGTCGCACTTGCTTATGTAGCGTCAGCATGCATATATGTGCCGGAGGCTTTTTACAGCTTCAAACAAAGAGCTATAACGTGCTCCTTATAACTCCGCGCAAAAAGCATCCTAGGTGGCGCATTTTGGTTGCAAATCAGAACGGTTAAGAAACGGACCCCTGAAACCTAGCGCGAAGACCCTGGGTTTGGGTTCAGGAGTCTAACTTCTGGCTCAACCCAGAAAGTGTGCGGCACTTTTAGAGGGCAGCCGCCGCACACTGGTGCGCGGCGCTCGCAGGCCCGTATGCCCACTTTTGTGCGCCACGGATTTAGGGGGTTGTTAATCACTGGACTGTATGTCGAGTGTGTGTGCGGACAGTGCCAGGTGGGCCCATACCTAACAACATAGGACAGCCCCTCGGGGGTGTATCGAATCAGATTCTTCAAGCATGGATTGTCTGCAACGAGCACTCGATTCTTAAATTTTGGCGCGGTCCCCGATCAGCTGTCGAAAGTCGGCTACATTTGCAGGCACTGGCACTTTAGGCACCGCTCGAAGGGAGGGTTTCTGTCGTACGAGCGGTACCGTACCAGCGCCGTGCAAGGGACCGGGGTAGCCGACTTAAATTGACAGCTGGACGGCCAGTCAAAGGGAAGACGCGAGTGCGCGCGCAGGCGAAGCTGCTTTGGCAGGGGCGAAGCGGCCGCCGGGTGAATACGGCGAAAGTTGAGCTGTTTGCTCAGAAGATCATGATCGAAGGTGAGCCAACGTGGCGCCGGGTGAATACGGCTGCTGTGAAGGCAGTTGTGCTCATGTGTTTTGAGCTGGGCAAACGTGCCATAGGCCGCCGCCAGGTGAATATGGCACTGAGGTGTTGATCACCTCTTGAGGTGATTGCGTGCGGCTGATGCGCTGTATGTAGCTCGACTTTTGAAAGATGCAGGGAGCGCCGGGTGAATACGGTTGGTGATTATTGGTGTCGATTCACAATCGCAGGCCAGTATGTGGTCCACATCGTGGCCAACGGCTCGGAATCATGTCACACAGTGTGCCAGCAAGCGAAGATATCAGTGGTGTGCTGTGCGGGCAGAGTTCTGGAGAGAGTGGACAGTGAAAAGCAGAGACCGGCTGGGCAAGAGCGGAATGGTAGGTGATAAGAGGATAATGTTTCCCAGCATTCTGGTGATTGATTGCTGGGTATTACGAAGTATACGGTGGGTTTGGGTGGGAACGAAAAACAATGGCGCCTAAG